GGGTGTTTCCGAAATTGGAGCGATGAACAAAAAACGATATAAAAGAAATTTAAAAATATATATTTTGGAAGGATACTGTATGAGTATTAAAATGTACATGGACTTCTTTTAACTCACTGATTAGATATTACCAGCACAGTGAGATCGGCTTTTTTAGAGAAAAGGCATGCTTGTGTTTTGTTCGCATTGAAATCTACCAAGTTATTGGATTCCCATTCGAGCATTGTTGCCAAGTCCATATTAATGTTGTCAACATTTCTCCCTTGTTCGTTTCTGATTTGCCTGGCTGGTATTGGGGCCCTGGAAGAGAAGGCGGTTTGAAGGGGACTATTATCGGCGAAGCTGTGTACTGGACATGAAGTTGCTTCCAGAAATCGTTGATATGGAGTAGAAATAGTGTTAGTGCTAGATCCTTGCGGAACACCAGCATTCATGATAAGAGAGTCAGAAACTCCGTCGACCACTACATGGAGAGACCTGTTTGAGAGAAAACTAGCTAGCAGAGAACATAGCTGGGGAGGCAAGCCATAAGATGGAAGCTTGGCGAGGAGTCCTTGGTGCCAGACTCGATCGAATGCCTTGGAGATATCAAGCCCCACGTCTAAGGTTTCACCATATATTTCAATAGATTGCTGCCATATATAAATATGTATGTTCTGAATATGATTTTTTCTAGTGTATATATATGTAAGAAAGTGAGTAAAAATGATGAGTAAATAATCTGACTAATGAATATAATTGATATAAGTTGTAATTTTGGTCAAACTAGTTTCACCGTGGAGAGGTCATCAAATTTGATTTCAAAGAAAACTTTAATGTAGATTTTACGTACTTATACCTTGTTATTCTTCTAGGTTTGTAGGTTACGGTGAACCAATTTCATGCCCACAACTGAAGGTTACACCTCTGTTACATTGACTTTTGATGAAGTTAATATGATTCCAAGTCGATTATACAGTTTTTTTAAATAATTGCTTCATTAAACAGTATTGATAAATAAGTGGCATTATATATTTTACAGTTTCGAATTTTTATTAAGAAAGTTCGGATTTGACCATTTCGTGGCTTTGTCCATGACAACGTATCCATCCTTTTTGAATCAATTTGTTTTTAGCTTTTCGAATTACAGCGAAATAATCTCATAGACTCTGCATCTGAATTATGATTGAATAAATATTGGATATTATTAAGATAAGTCATACGAATTTATACAGGTTGTTTCATAATATATGCGAAGGAATTCAGGATGTCATCGTTCGTTCAAAAATATGGAAAAAAGTTTTTGTTAACTTATATACCCTCTAAAATGCACTATTTTCGAGATATTTCTGGAACCATTCATCGCACAAAGAACAACTTTCGTAAGCATTTTCTACTCGTAATAAGCTATGTTTTATGCGGAATTTTTTTTTTAAATCATAATTGGTGGAGTTTTTGAAGGGGTAGTGAGTGTTTTCCTCCCCAACTTCTACGCCACTAGAAAAAGTACAGTTATGAGCAACCTATTTGAACTGCGAATATTTCATACACAAAAAAGTTATTTTTTGGTCAAAGGCTTCAAATTTGACCGTTCTCGAGAAAAAATCAACTCTAATGTTGAAACTTATGGTAATTTTTACGTAAGTTTAAATAGATTTTGTTCAGTAAAAAAATGTTTCCAAAAATCTACCACGATTTTCAACATGAAAGTTGATTTTTCTCAAAAACGATCAACTTTAGAGCTCATGACCACGAAAATCTTTTTTGTGTAGAAAACATTGCCGTTCGAATGGGCGGCTCAAAACTGTACTTTTTCCAGTGGCGTACAAGTTGGGGAGAAAAACATCCACTAATCCTTCAAAATCTTCACCAATTATGACAAAAATAAATAAATTCCATAAAAAACATACCTTATTATTGTGTACAAAAGCTGTTCTATGTGCAATAAACGGTTCCAGAGATATTCTTAAAAATCATTTTTTTTTTCAATTTCAACACCCTGTATCTCGAAATTAGTACATTTTAGAGAGTAAGTTAATAGAAACCCTTTTTCATATTTCTGGACGTGCTATCAGATCATGAAGTCCTGCGCATATATTATGAAACACCCTGTATAACTAGATTTTCTAAATTATCAGTTTCATCGAAGGGAATCTCTGATGATATCTGAAGATATAATCCGACTATTTCATAGAGTATATATATATATAACTGTCAGAATACAGGGATGTAACAACTATGCTAACTAAATTTTACAGTCTAATTGTCCAAGTTTGAGAAGAGGATTGCGACTCATCAGTTTGTGTGTCTAGTCATCTCATTCAGGATAAGGAATTAATGTATTTGCCCAAGTCTGAGTTCCTAGTTTGCTTATGAACATAACAAAAGGACGTTATTATAATCAGCATATATTAATCTTCATATTTGAAGCAAGAGAAATTGCTGTAAATTAACATGACAACATGGATCGTGAAATTGTGGTATTGTGGCAATCAAGTAAGGATTTGGGAAGTAAAAGTAGTTTAATATTAATTAGGTCCATCATATTAAAGTTGTGAAAACTTATTTCCTCATTGTAGGTCTATATTACTCGTGTGGGAACAACTCAATAAACTCAATTCATGAGATATATAGAATTAGAAACCTCCAGATTTTTTCATATTTGGAAAAAGACGATAATTAGATAATGTGTCAGATAAAAAAAAACGTATTTGTAAAATGTTTGAAGAAAATATGTGAGTAACAGGGAGTATTTCTAATTGATCTTGAATTTACCATTTTCCTACTCAGATTCCAGTATTGGATCACTGAGAAAAAAAATAGGCGCAGAGACAATTTGGGGTCAAACTATACGTATATATATATCGAAATGATACTGATATTATCTTATATTTTTAGCAGCTATAGGAGAAAAGACTCCAAGAATCTAGAAAAAATTTATCAACTTTCGAAACATCGCTGAATTGATCTATTATTTCAATCTTCAGTGTGAAAAATACACTACTCGATACCACTGAAATTGTTTTGCATATATATTCAGAAATCGAATTGAAAATGGTGAAGTTAGAGATTGCAGCATTTAGGAATTTCCTTTCGTGCGCTCCAAGGGATAACAAAATATATCCATCGACATTTATATTTTCCACACTTCCGTATTATAAAGGAAGAAATCATCTGTGTGATCATCCAAACAATTGGGATACGATCAAAGACCTTTAACTTGGCACACATTGACATGTTGATTCACAAATGCAAATTGGAGCCTGTATTGAATCCTGGAAATCAACCTGTATTAGACTCAACTGGTTTGGATCTCGGTTTTGATTTTCTATGGATCATATAACCGTGAAAATGTTCTTTTGAAGTTTAAGAAATGAAACAAACTCAAACTATTTTTGTGACATTTTTCATAAACAAATCATACTTATTAACAAAACAATGTGACCAATCCATGAAAGTGAAGAACCATCTCGAGATATAAAATCAACTCCATGAAACAATATGAGGATTATGAGGAAACCAAATTATGATTCTGAAACCAATTAAATGAGCTTCTGAAACCAATTTGATAAAGGTAAGTTTTTTTTTTAGTTTGAATCTTACAAATCTGAGCGGACATTCGAAATATGGTGTGATATCAGACGGAAATAAGAGAATACCTGGCACTTCTCTGAGATTGAATGTTATTGGAAATGAAAGAAGAAATGATATATATGAGAAAATCAGAATAGCTCTGACTCTCAACCATTCATGAATGTTTCATAAAAACAAAAACGTTGCATACGACCTTCATCAAACTCTGTTTTGACAAGGTGAGATATTAGACGGAAATAAGATGAATACCTGGCACTTTTCTGAGATGGAATAATATTGGAAATGAAGGAGGAAATCCTATGAGAAAATCAGAATAGATGTCAACCATTCACGAATATTTCAAAAAAATGAAAACGTTGCATACGAGCTTCATCAAAATCTATTTTGACATTCTAAATAAAGTAAGATATTAGATGGAAATGAGAAAATATCTGGCACTCTTCTGAGATGGAATAATATTGGAAATGAAGGAGGAAATGCTATGAGAAAATCAGAATAGCAGACTCTCAACCATTCACGAATATATCAAAAAAACAAAAACGTTGCATACGAGCTTCATCAAAATCTGTTTTGACTTTCATAATGAAGTAAGGTATTGACGGAAATGAGAAAATAACTGGCATTTTACTGAGATGGAAGAATATTGGAAATGAAGTAGGAAATGCTGAACAAATCAGAATAGCTGACTCTCAACCATTCACGAAAATTTCAAAAAAAACAAAAACGTTACATACGAGCTTCATCAAAGTCTGTTTTGACATTCAAAATAAGGTAAAGATATTAAACGGAATTGAGAAAATACCAGACACTTTTCTGAGATGGAATAATATTGGAAATATAGGAGAATATCAGAATAAATAGCTGACTCTCAACCATCCACGAATATTTCAAGAAACAAAAAAGTTTTGACATTCAAAATGCAGTAAGATATTGAGCGGAAATGAGAAAATACGTGGCACTTTTGTGAGATGAAATCATATTGGAAATGAATGGGGATATGCTATGAGAAAATCAAAATAGTTGACTATCAACCATCCGTAAATATTTAAAAAAAAAAACGAAAACGTTGCAGATGACTTTCAACAAACTCTGTTTTAACAATCGAAATGAGGTTAGATATTAGACGGAAATACAAAGATACCTGGCACTTTTCTGAGATGGAATGATATTGAATGTAGGAGGAAATGACATGAGAAAATCAGAATAGCTGACTCTCAACCATTCATGAATACATAGATACCTTGAAAACCTACGCCATTCCAAAACAGGTGAATTTCCATGCAAAATCCGAATGCACTTTCTCAAAATGTTCGCATAATCGAGTAATAAGTGGTACTGCGCATCGATAATGACTAATATCCATATCGTCATTTCTGCTGCCATCGCCCCGTAAAAAGCAAAAAGAGTACATAATTACTCGGCCGTCAATCGGTGTTTCCTTCCAGCAAGGCCATCCGAGTTGATTCTGTTGGCAGCAATACCGGCCAGCCAGTAGGCCACGACAACACCAGCGGCAAACAAAACAACAACCGAACAAGTGCTTTCCGCGTCTGCGAAAGACAAACGAGCGCGCGCAAATAGAAGTTTTCTCTGAAGTTTGAAAATTCTTGGAAGGTCAGCTTTCGTTCTTGTGTTCAAAGAGTGTCGATACATTTTGATAGCTAGTTGGATACCTATTTGTCGCTGAAAATTGTGGAGAGCAAGTACACAGTTTCAGGAGGAGTTGGTAGGTTATTATTGGAAAATGTTGTAGGTTAACGAATCCTCCAGGAATATAATTTATTGAATAACGTCTAGACTAATCGAGGAGGTGGAATATTCATTTCTTTTTATTTTTTGAGATTTTCTCTCATTGTTTCCAAGAATTAAAACATATAAACGGAGATAATATATGATTACTTCCCGTTTAGTTGATACACAGGGTTGGGATTAAATATGGAAATATGGAAATATCTTTGAATTTGAATAATAGTGAAACAAGATGCATTGATCAGACGTTTTTGTTAATAATGTACTTTACCGATTTAATAGAATTAATTCACTCAACTTTTTTAATTTATATAGAGCTTGATATTAACAATTCCTACATACTGAGTTTAGTAGGTATAATATAGGGTGATTTACGTAGGCCACACAATGGAAGTTTTCCAACTTGCATGCAGTTGAATTAAAAGCTTGAATATTTGGAGGTAAGAATTGATCATTTCCAATCCACCTGCAATATTTTTAGTTTCAAAATTTATCAACATGGTATTTTAACTACTATAAAATCTAAAATATCATTATGGAAAATGGGAAAATGATTTTCGATATCAAATGATGAAAATACGCTATAATTCACATTTTTCTGTCAATTTATGTCGCTGAGAAGTGTCAATACATATTCTCCAAACATACGGAGTGTTTCATGATATACAGGACGCAATACAAGGCGTTGAAGTTCCTCTCTGAGGTATCATCGAATATGAATTTTCAATAGGGCCGTTACAAAAATACACCACACGCTAACTATTATTATCTGTAAGTTAGTGTTTTCTATATTTCATGAATTTTTTGATTTTGCTATGAGAATCAACATCCTTTAACCACGATGTGACAGATAGAGTTGCGAGCTGTCAGCCATCGAAATCTAAGTCTCGTAATTTCAGTCGAGAAAATGAAGGAAACAGTTTAATATGAGTTTATAGAGACTAGGAAAATCAAATATGAAATAGATATTTACGAGGATATTTACGTAACCAGGTAGAAAAATCATTTTGTGTGACGATGGGATTTTGAGGGACAAGCGGGGCGCACTAGTGCGGTAAAGTATCTCATTACGAAAAAGTCAGTATCTATTTTCGAAGCATCATTATAGTAAGTTATAGAAGAGTTTTAGGTAAAATAGTGTACTATTTTTATATTGTAAATTCATATTACGATAATCGATGGTTTATCAAAATCGTCCTTTCGGCCTCGTTTGACTATAATTTTCCATCACATATCCTTATATCGTGGAAATCTATTACTTTCAGTTTGGCTTGTCAACCAGTGATCACCACTTTGTCCAAAATAGTCATGGCGTACAACAACATTTAAAAAGTAATGCTAATAAATTTGAAAACTTCTAATGTTTCATTGATATTCACACACTGAATTGAAATTAGATTTTCTTTCAATTTCATACTATACATGAATCCTCTAGTTGGGAAAAACATATAAATCAAGAACCTTCAGTCTTTGCTTATTGGATGAGTTTGTCGAGGAGTTTGTGTGACTTTGGCAAATTCCAAACTTCCATCAGTTTTATGTTGTAGGTTATATTGGTATCTGTTGTTTTCTCCTGTTTTAGTGTCGTTATGAAAAAAGTTTGAGGCTGATAATTTCTCGTTTTTTCTCTCATAAATAAGGTTCGTATATACAGGGTATTTCGTAATATGTGGGACGCACTTCCAGAGGTGAAAGGGCGTCTCAAGAAAATAGAAAATTTCCCATAAACTCAGAAGGCTTTGTTTGCGAAATACAGGGTGTTGAAATTGAAAATATTCATAGTTTTTTATGTCCACCCTGTATGGCTTATCGTGGTGACAAAATTCAGTATGTTATGTGATGACTGATAGCATAGTGCCACAATTACAGAATGCCATCTATCATCGTTATAGAGTAGGTAAATCCTCGGACTACGGACATCTACATCAAATTTTTGAGTTTAATTTGGTTATTTAGTTTTTCTCGAAAACAGTGTACCTTTACAAGTTTCAACACTTGATGCTTTTTTCTGTAAAATTGCATCCTCTTCCATATTTTCGAATACAATTTCGAAAAGGTTCATCGCCACTCATGTTTTTTCTGAAAAATCACCACATCAATACCCCTTAGAGGTGTCACTGGGACTCGCACTGGGAGTCAGAATGACTAAATAATGCCACCCATTCAATCACTCTCAGGCATTCAGTTATGCACCAGAATATCAAGAAATTTTATTCATAAATTCAAATTCAACACCCTGTATCTCGCAATCGAAGCCTTTTGTACATAGGACCGTTTTAATTTTCTTGAGACGCCCTATCACATCTCGAAGTGCGTCCCACATATTACGAAACACTCTGTATAGTCGTATATTATCTATACCGATCTAACACCCTTAAATCCAGTTTTTCATGTTCGGATTAGTTTTTCCAGCAGTAGGATTATTGGCTTATCGAAGTGAATGCTGATTTAAACTAACTTCTTCAGGATGTCGAAATAATTCAAAACATTATTCCTGTTCTGAAAACGTATTCAGCGCTGGTAGACTAGATAGATTAATATTTTTCCGCGAGTCGTAATAAACTGATGTTGGACAACAAATTTGAGGTATTATATTCAAAAAAAAAAGGTGTAATTCAGGACAAAGTCCATTATTTCAATTTATTATGGGTATTCAAGGCTATTCAATTCAACAGTCTGCTGTATTCTCCCCGAGATTCCCCCTCATTTGGAATCGGTCAAGAAGAATCGGTCAAGAAGAACCGCTAATTCATTGTCGAAACAAAAACATGTAATTTTTGACGTGGTTATACAATAACAAGTCAGCAGAATAACAAACATCCATTGCTATGTAAATCCCCAGAAATGGCGAATTATTATTTATAAATTTACCAGAATCATTCGTCGTTTTACGCATGAAATTAACAAACAAATAATTATTTTCATATTTTTATTCGAGAAGGAAAATGTTTATTTTGTTTTCATATTTTGTTGATCGTTATAGGAAAATAAGAGCAAATGGATTACTTTTTCCATATAAACTATTGATTGCTATTATGAAATTTTGAAAACAACATACAAGCTTACCCTATTTTTCCGAATGTTCATTATACAGGGTGATTCACATAAGAACCGACATAGAGCAGGGGCATGTAGGGGGTCCCAAAATATGGCAATTTAACGCAACTTACCTCTACGCCAAGTTGCTTCCCTAAGGAGATATAGGCTTTGGAAGTGAAGTTATAAATTTTGAAAAAAATCAATATCTCCGTTATTCTTGAACTTAAAGCAACCAAATTTGGTACACTTTGTGGATGTATTTAGGGCGTTACTTGACAGTAACTAGAGTTTAATTGAAATTTGTAAAGGGGGTATACCGGGTGGCGCACCATTAATATTCAACATAATTTTGTTAACACTTGATGGATTTCAAAAATCTTCGCTTTGTTTTGTGGGCAATTCAATTCTAAAACTTTTCTTACTCTAGTAATTTTTCGAAAAACCTCATCATTTTCATCAAACACTCGAATAACTGAAAACGCGCGCTCTAGGTGTGTTATTTAAAATCATCGAAAATTCAAAAGTTGGCTATGAAAATAAACGTCAAACTTGACAATGAGGCAAGTGAGTTGTTCAATTAAGTAATTGTTGTTTGAGTGTTTTTAAAATGAACGGGAAGTTTTCTTTTAACGAGCAAGTTGACATGCTGTTAGTGCTATGCCTATATAACTCCTTAGGGAAGCAACTTGGTATAGAGAAAAGTTGCGTTAAATTGCCATATTTTGGGACCCCCTACATGCCCCTGCCCTATGTCGGTTGTTATGTGAATCACCCTGTATAACTCAAATTAACGGGATAACATGTTTATACGCCTTATGCCTTGAATAGGAACACCGTCTATACACGGTGAAAAATGTATCGTGTTATGACACACCTCATTTTGACCTAAACTTGAAAATATGATTACACTATAGTATTCCTTTGGCATATTTAAAATGAGAAAGAAACTCATGGTATTGATCAATTTGACTACATAGATAAGTATCTAATGAAGTTCAATAATGGTACTGAAGAAATAATAGTAGATTGTTTTATTAGGATCAAAAGTGACACTTTGTTTGACAAGCGAATTTTGCATTTGCGAGGCGAAGCGTATAGCGAAGCCGAGCGAAAGCAAAATTTGCGAGTCGAACAAGTCACTTTTGATACGAATGAAACATGATATTTTTTCTGCAACCGAAACAATTAACTCAAATAAACATGTGAAGTAACCATACCAATGCCGTGCCATATGTAGTATGCAATGCAACAAATATTGACAAATAATGCATGTGGTGAGAATATTCTACCTGCATTAACAGCAGGTTAGGTTTTCTAGGATGTTCGAATTGTAGTTTCAATATGAATACAACCACAGAGTGACATATTTGTGTATGGACCAGGTGCTCTAATGGCAAATACCGCGCCAGTGCCAGCTATAGGAACAAGACGTGGAAAATGTTAGGCTAGTGAGCATATCAACAATGATAATAGTGATTATTTATTCCTCTCCATAGTACACTGTGTTTGACTTGATAATCAAATGAAGCTAAACGATATCGTTGTTCGAGGCAAAAAAACTATTGCTTGCCGTGATTATTCAAAACCAAGTTATCCATCCCGAGAATAACGAATGAAATACAGAATACAGATCAAGCAAGTATTTGAATCTTGAAGGCTTCCCTGATCAAAACAAAAATACTCAACTGAGATTTTCATAATTCCAATACTAAACTATAATAAGGTGTATTTATATCTCCAGCATGGGTATGAAATGCCAAATCTGATGAAATCGGAAACAAATCAGGTATGCGTCTCAACCCAAATAACCAACCGTCACAATGTTGTTCATTCTTGATGAAGTCCAGTACATCCTTTTTAGTTCCTAGGAGCTAAAGTTCAACTTTAGCTCCTAGGAACTAGAATTCAACTTTAGCTCCTAGGAACTAAATATGTTGC